ATCCATCCATCCATCCATCCATCCATCCACCCATCCACCCATCCACCCACCCATCCATCCAACCATCTATCCATCCACCCATCCATCCACCCATCCATCCACCCATCCATCCATCCAGCCACCCACACATCCATCCATCCATGCTTCCTTCCTTCCTTTCATCCCACCATCCATCTGTCCACAGGCTTGTTGAATGAAAAAACACTTGTGAGCACCTACTGTGTGCCAGTCACATCCTTGGCTTAGAGGATTTAATGCGCTGGGAGATGTTTAACATCCAGATCTCCAGGGAAACACGTCCCTGATTTTGTTGTCATGTTTGTCAGTTTATTTGCTGTAAATGTTCCCACTATGGCTGATTTCAAGCTACCAATCTAATGTCATCCTGGTCTCAGAATTCCTAGAATGTTAACAATTGGCTCTGTGGGCGGCATGAGGCAGCCCCAAGTGGCTCTGGTGCCTGACTGTGGAACAGAATGGCCATCCCAGAGTCTTAAAGCTGGGAAGAGCCTGTGGGGTATCAGGGCACTGTGTGGCCCAACCCGCCTGGTCTCGGCCCATTCTCTGTAAACGCCTGAGCACTTCACAGTGGTGTGCAGTGATGGCGTTCGTGGTAAGATATAGCACACATTTCTGTATACCTTATTGCTATATTTTAGCATAAAGCTAATTTCTCTGGCTTGTTTCCTCTATTCAGTGCTTTGTTTTACAGTGTAATATTAAACTATATCTCAACTTCTGCTTGATTGCCTAGTAAAATCCCTCCAATTTTGTATCATCTGGAAATAAGAGTTTTTAATTAACCAGGAATTGGTTATGCAATTTTGAAAAATGAATGACATTCCTCCTCAGCCAATAAATAGTAACTATCTTAATTTCCACAAAATTTAGAACAAAATATTCTCAAAATAAGAGTCTTTATTGTCAACCAATTGCCTAATAGAAGATGTGGTGGTAGCAGAAGATCTGGGATTGTGCCATAATGTGAGAAGCTGCCTCTTTCTCGAAGGGTCCTGAGGGCAGAGCCTGCAGGACTGCAGATGCTCCACTGGGGAACACCGGGGCTCAAGGTCCTCACAGGCTGGCACAGAAGAGACATCCCCTTCATCCCACCAGCAACCTCTTTACTGTTCCCTGGGACCTCATGATTCGAAAGAATTATTTCAACCAAACTACATTCAGTAAGGATTAGTGTCCCTATTTCTGCTAGTCAGAGATACAGATGTAGACATATCAATGGAAGAAATGCTCAAGAGAAGAAAATCCAAGGGCAGGAAGCTACCATTTCACAGCTGGATAGTGGAAACCAAATTAATTCCATAAACTGCACGCCACCGCAGGAGGCAGGCAGGAGCGGCTCCTACGCTGGGGTCACTGGGCAAAGCGAAGAAAGCTGCCAGGTTGGGCAGCCTGAGGCAGGGATCGGGGGACTCTGGAAGTGCCACAATCCTGGGTGGGCCCACAGTTTGGAGAGGGTTAGACAGAGAGGGCCCAGCAAGGACACACAGGCCTCAGGTGTGAGCCCAGACACAGGGAACGGGGAAGCGAGGAAGCTGCCCATGACCTGCTGAGCTGGGAGGACGCAGGAGGGATGTATCCTGGGTGTGGCTAAGGCTGCAGAGGGCCTGGGGAGGGTGCAAAGGAGTGAAGTTTTGTTTTTCATTCTCTACTGTTCTGAAGTGGCTGAATTTGTATTATATACACATAACGTTTTTATTTAAACAAACAAAACAGCTGTTAATGTGAAAGCAGAAGAAACCGACAAGAAAAAGTTAATAAAAACAGCAGCCCAGCACCCAGCAGGGGTCAGGGCCGCCTCCCTCCACGGAGCCCATCTGCAGAGAGACGGGGTGGGGTCCTGGAGGGGCCATGCAAGGTCCTGGGTTTGCTCTTCAGTCCAGGGCCCGAGAGCCAGCTTGGCTGGTGGGGTGACTCACAGAGCCTCTGACGCTTGCTGTCTGTGTTATTCTGCCAGGTGGCCCCAGGCTGGAAGAGGCCAGTGTGGATTGAGAAGATTGCAATGAGCGCACCTACGACAAGCGGGCGGTGGGGGAAGGACCCCAGAGCCGGCATGCTGGGCCTCGAGCAGGACCACAACTCAGGGTGTCTGTGGAGGCTAATCCAGGGCCCTCTCTTTTCAGAGCCATTTGTAAGACGACAGAAACGCCAACTGGCCTCTGTCCCTTCCGTCCCTCAGATGTACACTGAGCACCTGCCAAAAAACTGTCAACCTAGCCGGGAGGACACCCTGGGGCTCTGCCAGATACTGGGCTCTACCTCCTAGGCTCCACAGGCCAGGTGGGGAGACTGGAACCCCCAGCACCCACAGTCCAGTCAGGGGAGACTGGACCCCCAGCACCCACAGTCCAGTCAGGGGAGACTGGAACCCCCAGCACCCACAGTCCAGTCAGGGGAGACTGGACCCCCAGGGCCCACAGTCTGCGGGGGCTGGGGGAGGAAGCGGTGTGGTCATGGAGTTCATGGTCACGGATCCACGGACAGAGTGGGGAGCTGAGCCGGAGGGGCCTGCCCAGCCGGGGGTCCCGGGGTCAGAGGTCCTCGTGGGGGTGAACTCTGCCAGGAAGAAGGCAGGGGCTGCCAGGAGCAGGTACCTCCCTCAGAGGTCTCAGGAGACGTGACTCAGAGGAGACTGGGGGGGTGGTCCTGGGGCCGAGGCTCTGGGGAGAGACAAGTGCCCCTGCAGGGTGTACATGGGGGGCAGAGGTCTGGGACGGTGGGTCTTTGCTCTGGCTAGCCTGAGCTGTCCCTGCTTCAGACAGGAGCTGGAAGAGGAAATGGGCAAAGCCGAGTCTCTACTTGCAAGAAAAGGGGCTGGAACCAAAGAGTCTGTGCAGAACTGTGGGTCTCGGTCACTTATGTCAGTCTCAACTGTGGGATCTCTGCTGCCTCTTCTGTCCTGGGCAGGCCACGCTTCGTGTGATGTAAGGATGTTTGGAAAAGATTTTTTAAAATGAGTTTTAAATGAGGGTGAGCTAAACTGGAACGGAAACCCAGCGCAGGTGTCCACGGTTCCGCCTACCTGGGCTCACCCGCCCGCAGCAGATCACATTTCTCCCGCTCGCTCGCTCTCGGCCTGCACGTGTGGCCCTCACCCCCTCCAAAAGGGGACACAGCCGGGTTCGCCCCTCCTGCCCTCTCTTCTCCCTCCATTTCCTCCTGTACCAGAGCAGGATGTACCCCCAGAGGTTGGGGAGCCCCAGCTTCCACGTGGCCTGAGGCTGTGATCTGCTCACTCACCAGAAAGCCTGAAGTACTGTCCAGCAGGCAGCGCACACGGCAGACGAAACAGCGTGTCAGGAAGGCCGAGTACTCGGTGGGCGAGCCCGCGCCCCCTTCCTGGGCCCTGAGCAGCCTCCCCAGGATGGCGTCATCTCCTGTCCAGGACCGCGCAGCAAAGGAACGTGGTGGTGAGGCAGGGGAGACAGTGACCAAGAGAGAAGCCATAAATATACTCCAAGAAGCACAGGCTGTACATGTAACAGCAAGCTCCAAGTGTGTAACAAACACACTTTGGACTCTGGTGAGTACAAAGTCATGCAACTTAAATTTCCCTTTGCTCTTCCCTCCTGTCCCCTGTTGTCCCCATGGAGACAGCTTCTCTGATGGTTTTCACCTTCATCGTCCCTTGCCTTCACAAACATCATTTCTTAGTAACTATGCATGTTGACTATAGATCAAGTTTTGAATTTGCTTGGAGCTTTATAAAATGGTATTGTGTGTGGGCACCTGGGGTTTGCTTTTTGCATTCATTGTTATAAGGTAAATCATGGTGTTGTGTGAGGTTGTGTGAAAACTTTTCTTTGAATTATTGAAAATGTCTCTGGATATGTGCGAGAGAACCAGGGAATGGTCCTCTGCCTGTGACCCTGGGTGCACCTGCCCCTGCGAGCCTGCTGTCTCCTGCTGCCCATTGAGGAGTTCAACGCCTGCCAAGCTCCTCTTCTTGGTCAGGAGCCACAGATTTGGTGGGGGGTGAGCCAGTTTACAGGAGGATCTTGTGCCCAAAGGGGCAACCAACTCTGATTAGGGAACAGTCTTTCAGAGCTTTTTGCAGATAAATCTAATGTGGGCCAAAGACAATTCCTGGCAGATGTAAGGGAGTTTGGGAAAGACAGACAAGCAGCCTGGCTCCTGGTGAGGCAGGTAGAGTCAAGGCAGACTTGGGCCCCGCAGAGCACAGAAGAGCAACCGGTAGCAAACACACCCAGAGTCACACGGGAGCCGATAGAGCCGACCAGCGGAGCATGGCGAGGGGCATGGAGGGGCCTCTGTGCAGGAAAATGGCAGAGGTCTCCGAAGAAAGGTGAAATGCTAAATTCAGTGTGTAAAGCAAAGGAGAAGGACACAGTTTTTCTTGGGCACCCACGTGTTTACATGAAGTATTCTGGGTTCTGGCTGACCCACCTGGACCCCAGGACCCACCTGTCTCGGAGCGGGTGGGCTGCCCACACACCGCCAGGGGCGGGTCCATGGCCCAGTGCAGCTGCCTGCAGAAGTCCCGGCGGTCGTCCACGTGGATATAGTCGTAAATGTTCTGGTGCATGACGTCCGTCTGAAATATCGCAGCAATGTTATTTTAGCCTCACCCTAAATGAATTTGCACTGTTTATTCCAGTAATTAATTGCAAAAGTGTCCACATCCACCTGTCAAAAGGAAGTCACATCCATGAAGACAAAGTCGCATGGAAAAGACAGGACCCCTCTCCAGAGGGATGTGCCTATGTGGGCCTGGAGTGCCCCCAGGACTTGCCGGCTGCAAAGTCAGGTGCACTCTGGTGGCCTCCCCCAGCCCCTGACCTGCCCACCCACTGGTGCCATGTGCCAGCCCTCGGGGGCAGACATCTTCTGGGTCATGACACTTTGGGGTCAAGATATCTACTTTCCTAAACCGACTATGATTCTCTGAGACTCAGGTTCCCGTCCTGTTGTGTCTCATGACCAGTGATTTCCTTCTTCCTGGAACCCAGGCCTCAACTGGGGCCTATTCCATGATGCCATGAGGACCCACCAGTTCACGTGCCTCTCTCTGGTCCTCTCCTCCCACCTGCTTGGCAGCAAATCTGGGCTTTGACTTAGTGGCTGGCCCTGGGCCCATGTCTAGTGGACAGAGGCCAAAACCACAGGCTGTGAAGACTGGCCAGGTGGGACTCACCTGGGGCTCTCAGAGTGTGCCCACAAGCCACAGAGGCCTGGCCTTCTGCCTTCTCGTGACTGGCCTGTCAGTGCCCCAAGTTGTTAGCCCCCCAGGAACTGCTGGTGATCCCTGTAGAGCTGAGCTCTTTTCAGAACAGGCCTGTTTCTGAATTTTAATCATTTCTGAACTGGATCATTATAATAACAGATGATTCTTCATAAATGGAGGAAAAGCTCCTTAAGGATCAAGACCTTGAAATAAGGTTACCGTGCAGTAAGTCACTGTTAACTAGACTCCTGGGGCGACTGTATACCAAGAGGACTTGTTTTTCCATCTAGCTGTAATTTCCTGTCCCTCAACCCACCTCTTTCTTTTCCCCTTGTCCCCTCTGCTTTCTCGCCTCTAGTGACCAAAGTTCTGCTCTCCTTTTAACAGTTCAGCTTATTGAGTTGTTTTGTTTTTTTTTTAGCTCCCACATATGAGCGAGAACATACAGTATTTCTTTCTGTCAAACGACGAGAGGAAATCAAATGTTCCCATCACAAAGACATGAGTAAGTTTTGCAATGATGAAAATGCTAATTACCCTGATTAGATGGTCACACATTGTATACGTATACTGCAATATAACTCTGTATGCCATAAATATGTACAATCAATGTTTCAATAAAAATTAATTCTAAAAAAAGAAATAAGGTATTTTTTAAAGAATGCAACTAGTAAACTCGCCCACAATGGATGAGATTCGCCGTATTCTCAAGTAATCCTTATTGACGCCTGTAACTTAGTGGCTAAGACTTGCTGGGATCCCCTGAACATCAAATGAGATACAACCTCAGGAAGGCAGGAAGGGAGCGTGGTCATGACAAAGAGTTGGACTGTAATCACCTGTGTACCCCACTGTCTAGCGAGCCCAGAGAAGGGGGCAGAGAGAAGGTAAGTGGCCACCGTCCTTGGTCAGAGCTGACTCAGTGGCTCTGCAGATGAACATGGGACCAGTGGGCAGAGACCTACCCAGGGTGGAAGTGGACATGCCAGGCCCGCCTCCAGCTCATGCCCTGATGGGTCCCACCCCACCTGGCGGCTCTAGGATCATGGCGTGCTTCCCCCAGGGGTGCTTTCCTGATAGACTTTTTTTTTTTTTTTTTGTCTTTTTTCGTGACCGGCAACGGGATCGCAACCCTCGGTGTTGTGCCCGCACCGCGCTCAACCAGTGAGCGGACTGGTCTGTATATGGGATCCGAACCCTCGGCGGGAGCGCTGCCACACTCCCAAGCGCCGCACTCTACTGAGTGCGCCACCGGGCCAGCCCACTGATAGACTTTTGATTGAAGTATAACATACACAATGGAAAGCGCCCAAACTAGAAATACTCAGCTTGGTGAGTTATCTAAGGAGAACACCCAGATCAAGGACGGTGTCTCAGAAGCCCCTCTGCCCCGCACCGAGTCCTGAGCCACTCCCCACCCTGCAGGCTGGTTTTGCAGGGTCTGCTCTGAATGTGTGCCTCTTCTTCCCAGCATGGCTGTCCTGAGTTCACCTGTCCACATGTGTGGTGGTGGCCTTTCTCGCTCACTGCTTACTGTGTCCTGCTACACCAGCATGCCACAGCAGACCAACCCACTGCACTGCTAACGCCCTTTGGTTCGTTTCCCATTTGGGCCCACTGCAGACAACGCTGCTGCGTCTTGAGGGCATTTCTGCCAGGCACACACCAGGAGTGGAATCACTGCATCACAGGACAGGCAGAGGTTTAGCTTTAGCAGTGAACACCAGCTTTCCAAAGTGATGGTGCAAAGCACACTCCTGCTGTGGCACTGCACGAAATCTCTAGTTGCTTGACACTCCTGCCAACATCTGGCATTTCCAGGCTTTTCCATTTCAGCCACTGTGGTGGATCTGCAGTGGTTTCTCATGGGTTTAATTTGCATGTCATAAAGACTGATAGGAATGAGCACCTTCTCATACACTTCTTGGTTTTTAGATGAGTGTGCATGTGTGTGTTCATGTATATGTGGGTGTGTACGTGTGTATTAGTCTGTTTGTGTTGCTATAACAGAAATACCCGAGACTGGGTAATTTATAAGGAAAAGAGGTTTATTTGGTTTACGATTCTGGGACAGCTGCACCTGGCACGGGCCTCACGCTGCTTCTACTCAGGGCAGAAAGTGGCAGCAGCCAGCGGGTACAGGCAGATCACATGGCAAGAGGAAGCAAAAGAGAGAGAGAGAGAGGAGGTGCCAGGGTCTTTTAAACAACCAGCTCTCACAGGAACTAATAGAGCGAGAACTGACTCACTACCCCTCCTCCCCCCAGGGAGAGCATTAATCCATTCATGAGGAATCTGCCCCCATGACTCAATCAGTTTCCAACACTGCCACGTTGGGGATCAAATTTCCACGAGTTTTGGAGGGGACAACACGTCCAAACTCCATCAACGTGCATGTGTGCGTGCATGTGCACGTGTATGTGTGTGTGCGTGTGTGTATGCATGCGTGTGTGTGCACGCATGTGTGTGGGTGTGCATGCATGCTGCCTGTTTGTGTCCTTCCCATGCCACTCTGACGAGCTCCTCGCTGGACGGTGAGTACTCCTGCTCTGTCTGGATGCGAATCCTCTTGGGACATGCTCCTGCCCTCCCACTCCCCTAACGGACTCCAACACAGTCCAACTCATCAGTCCTCACCTTGTGGGTAGGGCCTTTTGTCTCATTAAGAAATCTTTCCTTGTACATCTCCCAATTCTGCCCTGTTACCTTCTAGAGACTTCCATCGTCCACCTGATATTTACTCTGTATGGTGTGAGGTAGTTGAGATTCATTCTTTCCCTGTATGGATCCAGTTCACTCAGCATCATTTATTGAAAAGACCATCCTTTCTCTACAACCCAGCAGTGCTATCTTTATCATAAACCTCATGTCCAGACATACATGCCTGCTTCTGAACTCCAGTTCTGTTTTAGGGGTCTATCCGTCTATCCTCGCACCAACCCCGCACTAACTACTGAGTTATACAGAAAGTCTCATCTCCGGTGTTGTGAATCGCCCGAGGATCACCACCTCCTGCTGCCTCTTTTCCTCTTCCTCCAGGTGGCCTTGAATACTCCCAGCCCTCTGCATGTCATGCAGGTTTTAGAATTAGCTTGCCAATGTCCACCAAAAAGTTGCTCAGTTTTTATTGTAATTTCGCTAACTCTATAACCTGATTTGGAGAAAACTGACATCTTTATAATTATAATATTTAGTCCCCCAATTCATGAATATGGTATATCTCTCAACTTATCTGGATCAATTTTCATTTCTTTAAACAATGTTTCCTATTTTCCGTGTGGAGGTACTGTATATCATTTGTTAGATTCATTCCTGGGAATTTGGTGGTTTTTAATCCTGCTGTAGAAGGCCTTTTCCTCTCTGTGGTTTTGATTAGAGGATAAGATTGTGCTGACCTCTGAGCACTGGGCCGTCTCAGTTCTCACGGTAAATGGATAAACAGGCACCGTGACTCACACTCTATTCTCTCATGAGTTTTTGTAGGTGACCCTAAGCTTTGCGGAGCCCTTGGAGGTGGCGATCCCCCAACAACCTCTCTGTGCAGCCGCAGCCTGCCGGCCCCATCCTCGTTCCCACAGATGTTAGTTAATGCAGGGGCATGTGCAGTTAACATGGGAGGGGCGGATCTGCATTTAACCAAGGCAGGAGACAGATACACTCGGAGGAGAGCGTGGTAAAATTGGAAAAGAACGTTTCTGACTAAGACAAATCTGAAGGCAGGATGAAATATGACTATTTTTTAGGTTGAGGAAACAAAGTTTTGCATTTTAATAATTAATGTGGCGTCTGCCTGCCCTAAGTCTTTCCTAATCTCCTAGAGTCTGATTCCTACCAAGTGATGTCAAGAGAAATAAACGGGAGGCAGAGAATAATATAACAAATATTCAGACAGCACAAAAAGAAACACTGCTCTACCAAGTAAAGGCAGTCTTTATTTTAGTTTTAAATCATCATTTATGCATTTCAGAATATAAGTGTTCCCAATTTTAACAAATTGCTCATTCCAGCCGTTATCGTTTTTACCTTTTCTGTGCAAAAGTGTGTACACATCTGTTAACCATGCCTATGGGATTAACTGCTCTGGTTGACAAGCTGTTCCAGTCTGCCCTCGCTCACCCAGGGACAACTTACCCAATCTGGTGACCTTTGAGAGAATGGACAACTTCTTGAATCAGTAAGTGTCAACAGTAACTAACACACACATCTAAAACCCACTGATTCATCCTGAGCTTGCTGAATTTGAAGACACTGAAGCTGTGCACTCAGGCTCTGATAAGAAACAATTGGTTCCTGTCTTTTTGCAAAGCATTTTGCACAAGAAGCTCATAGGAGCACAAAACCATTCTCAAATTTTCTTGAAATATTTTGCATAAATTAGAGGCAATGCCCAATTTCATGGCATTTGGAAACAATTTCCTTATAATAAAGATAAAACTTTTTTTTTCTTACTGCTATCGCTGGGGAACAATAACCAAGCTCCAAGAAAGCAAAAGACCCAATTAGTAGG